ATATATGTATGTATATACATGAATATATGTATATACATGAATGTATGTATGTATGTATATACATGAATGTATGTATGTATGTATGTATATACATGAATGTATGTATGTATGTATGTATATACATGAATGTATGTATGTATGTATGTATATACATGAATGTATGTATGTATATACATGAATGTATGTATGTATATACATGAATGAATGTATGTATATGAAATTGAATGTATGTCTATATACATGAATGAATGTATGTATATACATATATGTACATGAATGAATGTATGTATATCATGAATGAATGTATGTATACATGAATGTATGTATATACTATATACATGAATGTATGTATATAGATGAAATGTATATATGAATGTATGTATAAATGTATATACATGAATGTATATAGATAAATGTATATATATAGATGTAGATGTATATATAAATTCATACATATATATGTATGTATATAAATGTGTTTATATGTATTTATATATATATATATATATATATATGTGTTTGTGTGTATATATATATATATATATATATATATATATATATATATATATATATATATATATATATATATATATATATATATATATATATATATATATATATGTGTGTGTGTACGTGCTGCTGTATTCATGCATGATGTATTGCAAGTCAGAGATATGCATTATGAACATTTTCTATCAGGGAAATATAAATAAAATTTTGTCCAAAAAATGTGTAAAAACATGGAGCCAACAGGATTTCGTTACCGAAACTGGTGTCATTTTCTTCACATTCATTCATGTAATGATCAAATTAAATAAATGGTCAGACGAAAATGGCAATGCCCGTTATAAAATCAAATTCATCAATCGGCATACCGATGATGATGATAAATATACCCAACTACTAAAATACGAATTCTAAAGCCACTCCACAGTGACATGCATTTCACTTCATCCTTCTAGCATAACATTTTCCGGGGCGAAGATATAACAATCTGGAAAATGATCTCTACCCTGCGGGAAAACCTGCAACGTCTTATAGCCTGAAGGTGCTAATGGTTCCTGTTATTATTGTTGATGAATTTACAATTACTATCAAAACATAGCAAACACATTAGAAGAACTGGAAATTGTGAACATATTCATAATTACAAATTTCCTAAAATCAGTCAGATTCTTAAAAAGAAATTTTGAAACGCCAAGAAGATTTGCCATCGCTTGATCTACCATGACTAAATAGGAGTAAGTAGGGTCGTCTATCGTTCACATTTTTGAACAGGAGTAGAGGGTTATCCCTTGTTTCCTGTTTAAGATTATGTTTCCGATTCTTTCTAAAGTCTTCTCATTCTTAATCACGCCCAGTGGGGCCTTGCATCTTAGTGGGATAACGCATTATCCCCTAGATTGGGGGGGGAATTGATAACAAAACTACCGCCTCCTCTTACCGGTGTGAATCATAAATTTTAAAACAAATGCACAAAAATGATCATAAAAAAGAATGAAATGTCTAGAAAAAAAACCTAATAATGTCTGCTTGTTTCTAAGTACATCCCTCTGACAGCTTGGCTGTCTAATCCCTGTTTCAGACTCCTGCTCAGGTATATTTTTATTTCTTGATAAGCAGATCGTGCTTGTAGTTTCTGGAAGATCGGCCATGAGCTGAGATGATCAGCCGTTTCATTTGTCAAATATACTTGTAACTTTACGCTAGCATAACCACCGATGGCGTCAGTTTCCTTTACACCAGTGAACTGATATGTTTTGTCTCAACACGTGTTGTGGTTTACAGGTACTTACCAACGGAGCCGAAAACGTTCCCCTGTGTCATTTTTGTTTCAAAAATGGACCATGCTGAGATGCGAACCCGGATTTACATGGTCGGGATGCTAACGTTCTCACCACTCAGCAGCACATCAATAATTTAAATTCAAAATGATTAACGGCTAACTGTGCAAACGACTTTTTATTTTATCATGCTATTCAATAATATACCGGGTGTAACAGCAAAATTGTCCAATTGCTCTTAAGCGTCGTATCTTAGAAATGATTAAAGGTATCATACTGGAATTCTCCGAGATTTTTAAAACTCTACTGGATTCTACTTTGAGCAATGATTGTATAATTACTCTCCAAACTTACCAGAAATATCGTGATGAAATCGATCATAAACGAAAATGACATGTTCGTCATTAATTAATCATAGCTAAGGATCGGAAGCTCATGAAGGATTGAAATAAAGATTATATATATATATATATATATATATATATATATATATATATATATTATTCCAGGATCCTTTTCAAACTTGTCCAAGATTATCTTCACCCTATCTAACCTTCTATCTTTCTGTACTGGAGTAACAAGTTTCCTCACATGTTTCACGTACGATTTCATTTTCAAGACTTTTTCACTGCTTTTTGGGACTGTCATAGCTGAAACTCCTCTCTCCTGTGTCAAACGTCTTTTGAATTGAGTTGGATATTTTTGATTCGATCTATTCAGCGCTAAACTATAATGATGATCTCTCTTTCTGTTGTGACCTACAAAGCCAGTTTTCCTCTCTTCTGTTCCCTCTTTTTTAAACTTATTCCCCGTTCTCTTGATGGTTCTTGAATGGACTCTGAAGATGGAAGCCAGAGGATGAATGCTGGTAACATTCCTGAAGGCCTGAATGATTCTTTTCTTCTCACCATTACTCATTTGTGAAGACAGTGGGTCTGGCACACAAAATAATTTTAATCTGCTCTCTTTTTAGCTGAATAATTAAAACGGTAACGATTGTTACGAAAAAAAATTGCCAAGATGGCTAAATGTCTAATCTGAAAACATGGAAAAAAGAAACTAAATTATTTTAGTGTTTATTTTTTTTAGATAGTAAACATTGTGTGTGATGGATAATTCTGCTGTTACAAGATTTGGACAATTGGGCTGTGACACCCGGTATGAGGATATAGGTATTTATATATAGGTATTTGAAATTCAAAACTGGCCAACCAGTCTAGGCCACCTAACTAGATCTTGACGATAAAGAAAAGAGTAATTTACTGCTATATCATCTTTATTCTCCTGTATTGCAGCGGATACTAAGCAGTTCCCTGAGAGATTAAGAAGAGAATATTAGCGAAAAAGATGTGATTCCATAGATGCATATTGGGAATACAATAGACAGGACACGTGAGTAACAAGGAAGTTTTTTTTTTTGTTTTTTTTTGCAGTCATGTTCACCGCGGCTAGAAGAGGTAGAGGATTACTTTAAGAGGAAATTTGTACGAATATGAGGAGAACATAAAGGTTAGCCCTAGACTTGACCAGTTTAAAATTGCATTGATCGGAGTCAATTCAACAGAGCATTAATTCGCTGGAAGAAGCTGTCCCAATGGAACTTATTTCTCACAAAATGAATACGGAGGGAATGTGGGTTGTTTGCTACCATGTAAGTGGCATGGTGCGTCCTTGACGTGAAGGTTTCAACTGGCAGAACCAGAGAATATAGTTCGTTCGAGGACTTTGCGTGAAAGTAGCGATAGTGTAGCGAGAGGCTTGCCGCATCCCGTTCGTAAGACATAGATTGGAGTCTGGAGAATAGTTCGTCTCCAACAAAGGTTCGATGACGCTTTTGGACTCGGACAGTGAGGTCTGGGTAGCTCCCTCTCAAATATAACAACAGTATTTCTTGTTTTTTTGCCTGAAAGAAACTAGATATTAGAAAGACATACTTAAGACTAGAAAACGTTATTTGAAATTTCCTGAGAAAGAACGGCTTGGAAAATTTAATACTCACGGGACTCACTGAAGGAAGGTGGGGGGAAATGGAAATACCGCTCATTTAATGAGCATGTGTAAATGGCTGGCAGGGCAGAGATAAGGAGGGATGGTATAATGTAAAAATCTGCTGCAATGAAAAGGACGTTGTGGAAAGGATACTCACTGATGGCGATGACGTATGTCTTTTATTCATGACGTAGCTCACATACTTAAGATGTCGTTATTATTCTGCTTATATTAACGCTGCCAGTCTAAGAATAGGATGTCAAATCTTGTTCACTAACTTTCGAATAGATCGAATAAAGGCCAACATGATATGGACAAATCGAAAGCATATGAACGCAGAAATTCATGATATCTGCTTAACGTTGCAAGTTAAAAGGACACTGCTTTGTTCGAATGTAATCGTTTCGTAGGCTTCTTCGCGCAAGTTTGACAGACAATGAAATACTGTCTGTCATAACTGGCATTTCTCCGTGCAAAGACAATATTTGTTTCATGCTTTCCTGCTGGGTCTTTTGCTAAGAGCCCTAGTGTTGTGAGAAAGACTTGAATAGCTTAACTGAAGATCTTTGCACCGTTATTGAGGATTAGGTAAGAGGAACTTAAAACCCGACGACATCACCGCTGATACGTTGGGTCTGTTGTCCGCCATCTTTGAATTGTTGGCGTTTGAAAGATGGCTTGCACTGAATGTCAATACTTTTATTTGAACATTGAAGCAATGGTGGATAGAATACCATTGAGAATGAGGAATTGGAATTTTAAGTTTTGTTGATTTGTTGCACGCTAGCTATTAGAAAAATGCAGAGGAAGCGAGAAAAAATTGTTTGCCATTTTTTTATATAATTATTTTTTTTTCCTTTAAGGTTATGCACGAAGTTACTTTTTGTTCATTTTATTGTCCTCTTTTGTTTAAGTTGATAATAAACAGCCGACCGTTCCACAGCGAATTTGATGATAACATTTAAACTGCCTGGCTTCAATTTAAGTTTCTTCTTCCTCTTATTTCGAGCTGTTTTTCTTCATATGCCGCTCAAGAAATTGATGTTGGTGATTATAATCATGGTTTTCGCTCTCCTTATTCTCCATCAAAGGCAATAATTAATATTCTATTTTATCACGAATGAAGAATATGGTAATAATAATTATTATGCATCTTTTTTTTTTTCTTCAATAGTTTTATAATAATCACTTCTTTTCTCTCATGTTAATGATGATGCAGCCGATATTATGGAAATAGTCTTTATTTCGTTTGTCCTTTCTTTCATTCGTCGTTTCGTTCTTCTTTCTTTCTTTCTTTTTTTCTTTTGTTCTTCATTCATTCTTTCCTTCCTTCTTTTCTTTCTTCTTCCCTTTCTTTCTTTCGTTCTTTCTTTCTTTCTTTCTTCCTTATTTTCTTTCTTTCTGTTTTGTCTTCCTTTCTTTTTTGTCTTGCTTTCCTTCTTTCTTTCTTCCTTCCTTCCTTCCTTCCTTCCTTTCCTTCTTTCTCTCTTTCTTTCTTTGTTTCTTTGTTTCTTTTCTTTGTTTCTTTTCTTTGTTTCTTTCTTCCTTTCATATTCACTTCCTTCCATCATTCCTTTCTTCTTTCTTTCTTTCTTTCTTCCCCTCGTTCTTCTTTTCTGTCTTTCTTTCTTTCTTTCTTTCTTTCTAAATTTCTGTCTTTCTTTCTTCCATCTTTTTCTTCTTTCTTTCTTTCTTTCTATTTTTCTTTCATTTTGTAACACACCGTCTCTTTCTCCTGTCAAACATACTTCTTCCTTACCTTAATTTTCTTTTGTTTCCTTATTTTGTTTCTATATTTTTCTCATCAACTTTCTCTTCCTTCCATTTGTACTCCTCAAATTTTCTTGTCGTAGTGTTATTTTTATCTTTCTCTTCTTCATTTTTGCTCTTTTTCTCTGCTGCTAATGCTTTTTTATCCTTATATCCTCCTCCTCCTTCTTCAATATGTACAGGTATGTGTGTGTGAGTGTTCGCACGCGCGTGCGTCTGTGTGTGTATGCATTCGATTGATTTCTCTTCAATGTCTTTTGTTTTTTGTTTTTCCTAAAATCCTTTTGTTACATTTTTTTAAAAACTGCGGACCCTTTTTCTACCTTTTCTTTAGCTTTTTCTTTCTCTATAGCCTTTCTTTCGTTTCCTCTTCCACATATCCTTTTCTTTTGAATAAGCCCCTTCTCCGTCTTTATATTTTTCTGACAGATCCCTATTGAATCAGTCTTCTTCAACTCCGTTTTATTCTTTGTCCCTTCACCCACTCCATTTATTCAGCCACTTTCTAATTCCGTCTGTCCCTTCCCAAAATTCCGTCGTTCCCCTCCCATATTTCATTTATCTGGTTTTTTTTTTTTTTGTCATCCCCTTCATTCAAGCCCTTTCCGTGTTTGAGATCGTGTGGGTATTTTGCTTGTTTTTACCTGATTGTATGCATCTGTTTGGCTTGATGATCAGACTTTGACAAAAAATAAAGAAACAGAATTCTTTAAGTACAATGCGAAAAATGTTAACAGGTACAAACACGTCTTTGCCATCAAGTGGAGAGAATCGCAACTTTATGGCGTAATGTTTCTTTAAAGTAATTCTTTTTTAGCTTGCATCCGCAGCAACATTGCTTTTTTTTATTTTTAAAGATATAATTTAAAAACATTTCTTCATTTATTTAAAGATGATTTTAAAAACGTTCGCAGTTTCTCGAATAAAAAGTGGTCCTTTTTTTTTTTTTTTTTTTTCGGAAACACATGCGAAAATGTTCGCTTTGTTTGAAAAGCGTATTTAATTTTCACCAAGAAGTAAAACAATATTATAAAAAAATTATTGTCTTCAGACTCGACGTCAATCTACCATGGCTCATTTTTCTTTTTTTTTTTTTTTTCTTTTCGTTCATTCTGTCGATCTGTTGACAGAAGTGCATTGTAAATAATGAATATAAAAGGCTATTCAAAAAATAGTCATACATTTTATACGCTATAAATTATGAGTCACTCAAAGCAGAAACAATCTTTAATAGTAGGAAAATACTTCACGAATAAGTTTATCACATCTTCTATCCGACGGATGTGCGCATGGTGCACGGAATAAAAAATCGGAGAGGTGAGTTTCAATTCCGGTCGAGTTTGTTGCATTCACTTACACGCCAATACCCTTAAGAAACGTATTAATACAGATCTCCCACCAGCTATGGTTTAAATAACAAATCTGTTTACTGTATTTGTCGGTACGTAAAATGCATTTTTTCAATTGAACCCCCACCCCTCTCTAGACTAATTTTATCCCTTGCGCTAATTGCCGTAGTCTATCATTTTACGTTAGATGGGGGAGTTCTATCGAGTCCGACTCCATAATAATATAATTTCATTGAACGACTTCTCTTCTTCTTCATGTTTGATGAGTGAAAGAGCAGTACGCCATCAAAATGATGCAGGGGGGAATATACAAAACCGAATATACTTATCATGACAGAGAGTCTGATAAGGGTATATGCATCACAGCCAAACGTTATCATGACTATTATTATTATTAGTAGTAGTAGTAGTAGCAGTAGCAGTAGAATTAATATTATTAGTAGTAGTGTAAAAGGAATTATCGTAACCATGTCCAGCGACTTTCGTCGGTGCCAGCTGATATATCGTAAGTAAATAGGTTTCAGCAAACGCATAAAATTAATCACCAGGAAACGGCAAAAGAAAGTAATATAAATGAAAGGAAATATTGATAATAATAAGATTATGTTTTGCTTTATATTCAACTGTAGTAGTAGCTAGCTTTGTTTTTGTTTTTGTTTTTCGTTTTGTTTTTTTATAAAGATTTTTCGTTTTTTTCGCTTTTGAAATGTTTTATTACTGTAGTCATGTAGAATGTCCTTACTCTCATGACTTCCTGTTTAACGTTCAACTTGACTGCTAGCTTGCTTTTTCTATACAGTAATGTTATCTGCTATGTCTAAAATGCATTTGTAACGTTTTTTAATGTAGTGATAGCTTGATTTAAACATTGCATGCTAAATATATAAAAAACATTTTTCCCTGCATATAACCGGTCAAAATAAAGGTGTATCTGATATGTCACTGATTCTTTTAAATCGGCAAATACGCTAATTTATTCAACTCAATTTCTTACAAGAAACGGATTCATTGTCATTAATACTTTTACTAGTTTATCCATTATCTTATTTTTGATGCTATTTTTTTTATCACAGTATCCGGACTGTTTATGACTGTTAATTATACAGCACTTATTTGGAAATAAAGAATTAGCTTCTGGCAAGATTCAAACTCTAGTCCGTTTTTGCCATGAATTAATTTTTAGATGAATGAATTCAAAACAACTCCAATTGTTATCATATTATGAACACTACACTTACTTATTTTAAACCTTTATACACAAACAAGGCAATAAAGCCACTACGATGCAAGGCTTTATTAAGAGTGAAAGAAACAGAGAAAACAATAAAAGAACAGGATTTTAGCAGAGCGGAGATGACCATTCACATTGCATTTAAATTTTTGAAGATCAAAGTTGACAGGAAAGCAGGACACCGGAAGAGAGTTCCAAGAGAGTCGAGAGAGAAGAAACAATTAGCATAGAACTTACGGTTGTAACTACCAATTTCAATAGTGAAATTATGCGACCTAACTGCCAATCTAGTACTGTGCTAAATTCGTGAAGTCGAGATATCAACGAGGAAGGCGCACCAGAACAATTATTATTACAATATTTATAGACAAAGCAAAGGGAAGCTACAAAAGTGTGGCAGAAGCCAAGATGCCAGGTTATAGCCGATAATGTTGCCGATGCTTCTTTATGTTTTGTGAAGTATCACCAAATATTACCAGAAGCACTGGAGCAGATGCTACAGCAGTAATCGATACACGGGCGAATAGCAAACTTATAAATTTGCAAGATAGATTTGTGACAAGGAAAATTGTCTAGCACGACAGAATGTTCTAGCAGCAGACTTAACGGATACATTATAATCATTTCATTTCATATAAGTGGAAAATATGGGACCAGTTACGGAGACCTCTTGAAGTCGAACCTCGATCCGTACAGCCTGTGGAAACAACCCCGTTTGGAAAATATCTTTGTAGGAAACATAAAAAGTGCTTTAAATATCATTAAGAATTTTTTTTTTCGAAATATAGAACGATCGACGAGGATCGAATTCCATTTTTGAGGCCATGTTCCTTCTGAAGCCATTGGATCATGGCTCTCCACAAATTCATTTTCTTTATTATCACTGCATTGTCATGACGTTTTGGAAATGAGCGTGGAATCTATTATTGTTGCCTTCTCCACGAATTCAAAGAATTCCTTGTTTAGACTGGCTACCACTGAAGAGCAGAGTCAAGACTGCTATAAAATCCATAGCTGGAAGAGAAGAAACTGACTCATGCCTTTTTTTTCAGGGCTATAAATTCCTAAATAAATTTAGAAAACTATACTGGAATTTCAAATCTACTATCTGAAAACACTTTCCTCACCGATAGCTTCACATCGGGCATCCAATCATAATAATCAACAAATCAAGCTGGCTAACCCTTACCCAACGCCGAGGTACTTTAAACACTTTGCTTAGTACGGACACCCCAGATCGAACTCGCTCCTCAGTGGTGACGACCAGTTGGATTAGCACGCTAGTTAATTATATCAACTATTATAATAGTGCCTATATCATTAAGAATATGTGGATTGCTCCCTCATGTTTTATATTTTATTATTGTAAATCTTTCTTTTTTAATAATTTCACCACAAGCAAGGCAACAAAGCCCCTAAGATGTAGGGAGTTACTGTGTGCCAAAGAATATAAGATAAAGGCAAGCATTATTAAGGAGAGAGAACAATAAAACAAGAGAAGTTAAGATGACAAAGGAAAATGACATTGCTTTTAAATTTTTGAAGATCAAATTTGAAGGAAAGCAAGAATCTGGAAGAGAAGTTCCACAAGCAAGAAGTGTGAGAAAAGAAATTGTTGGCATAGAACTTACGGTTACATCTAGGCAAGAAGAAATTTCAGTATCCTATAATAACAAAAGAGGGCTTGATCAACTGGTTAATTGATGTATTGATTGTTTTTACTTATTTTACGGCTTATCAACCTTTTTACGTTATTATACAGTTGAAATATATTTTGGGATTTTAAGAATAATTCGGGGTTTTTGCGAGTAAATTAACGCATTTTGTGAATAATGTTTTCCTGATAAAATTCCTATTATTTAACCCATAGTTGGAGGGAGAAATAGTGGATTCATATCTCTCCCAGAGGTATTTGCGCTTAAATGAATGCAAGAAAACCCGACTGAAATTCGAACTCGGCTCTCCGATTTCTCATTCCGAGCCGTTACGCATTTCCCTACCCGCATATCCACGCCCACAGCACCTGGTATGGCCAAACAGTCATCTGTCTAGATACTGACCACTCTCGACGTTTATTAAGTTGGACAAGAACGTGGTATCACCGTGAAACAGGGAAAGAGGACCTAGATAATTTCGCATTCATATTGCAGGCATGAGAAACATGGGCAAATAACATGTAAGAACAAAGAGGAATGAATTAAAAAATACATAGAACAAGAGAATGCTGTGGAGAGTCATGATCGCCGATGTCCTGAGAGAACACGGTGCAAGACACTACCATTTAATCCCGTCTCAAAAGTAAATCCGTCAGAGCTGGCAAAGTTAACCTGTCTGCTGCGATTGAAAACGGCCTCCAATCACTGATTAACTGGAGCAAGAAATGCCTTCTAAATTTTAATGCATCAAAAACTAGA